TGGGCTGAGCGGCCGAGTTCGTCTCGTTGTGCCAGCTCCTTCAGCCCCCGACTCGCCAGCAGCAAACACGACAGCAGGCGTGCAGGCTTTTGTATTTTTTATTTAAAATTTACACTGAAGTTAGAAAGGTAGCAGGCTAAACAGTGCTGGTTCTTCAACGTGTGTCGTGCGAACGCGTAACTCGGTGCGGTTCTCGCACACTTCCATTTCTCAGAAGGAAACAAAACCAGGAATGGGGAAGAAAAGATGGCAGGTCGGGAAAGCGTGCAGCGAGCAGAGCGGGGCAGGCGGGAGGCACGAGAAGCGCGAGGGCTGGCTCCAGCACGCTCTAAGGACACCGCACCCTACTCACGGGCGATGTGGATGGACCACTACTATTATTACTGTTACTATACCAGCTGTCAGCATCGCCTCTCCCTCCTGATACTGCTTTTTTCTAACTTTTAAGGAACAAGAGGAGGTTTAGTTAGAAAAGAAGAAAACAAAAGTACCCCTCGACCCACATCCACCAGCCGATGGAGCTTGTTTAATAAAGTGGTGAGACACAGGAGGACACCAATGAAAACACACAGTTCTTCTCACTTTTATTTCTTTGTTAAATATTTCGTGGCTGCCAAGAGAGCAAATTGCACCGTGTTTATATTTCCTTTGACTCTGAATGCACGGTTTCCAAAACCAATCAAACAACAGCTTATTGAAAATATTCCTTAGGCTTCACACCTCATGGAAGCCCATGACATTTATATTATTAAAGACAAAATTAGAAAAAAAAAATATGCCCATAACAATGTTTGAAATTGTATTCGCTACATCGTTAGTCCCAACATCACATTTCTGTTGCTCTTCAAAATTCCAGGTAAGCAATCAGTTCCCCCACATTACCCTGTCTTGTCACACAGATTACAAGACACTTCAATTTTAGATACCATGCAAGTCAGTAAAAGAGCTTCTTTCCAAGACACTAACACCAAAGATTTGTTCCCCCCTCCCCAGACATAAGACCCTTAAACTCTTCTAGAAGTGGCAGTCTTCTCCCTCAGACCCAGTGCAGCTGGCGAAGACAGATTAAAAAAAGCTAGAGAGAGAGAAAAGGGGAAAAAAAGTGAAAAAAACAGAAGATTAGCAAAAAAGAGAAAGACATTCAAAAAGCAGGAAAAAGAGATGCAACACGAAAACAGCTGAGAGAGAGATGGAACCTCCTTGTGGTACCTCAAGCACTTCAAGGAAATCACACAAGTGAAAGCCTTTGTTCTTTAAAAAGACTTTACATAACTTTAAAAAACATTCTAATGGTCAGGGAGAACAGCCTGCAGTGTGGTAAAAAAAAAAGGCACATTAAACGGTTCTTTTAGCAGATAATCTAGAAATCATTGACAGTGATACTGCCTGGTTTGGGGAGCAGGCCGACATTTGACAGTAGAGGAAGAAGTAAATACTCAAATTATTTTAACTTGCTTAAAAAATCCCAAACCAACCACCACAAAACAGCCAAAGACTTTTATGGGAAATAAAATTGTATTTATGGTGAAACAAAATACCTGAGAAAAATTGCAAGCAAGAGTTTTAACTGCCTTGGTTGCCGGAAGCAGAGGCCAGACCGTTGTTCGATCCGGGTTAACGCACGAGGTTTGCCGCTGCCGTGAGCAGCTAGCCAGACTAACACGTCGTACGCACAAACTGTTCGTCAGCCTTCAGCATCATCCAGACTCTACCTTTCTAGTGAAACTCAGCAGCGGCTTGCACTGAAACCAGCATTACCTATCACGGCTAGGTCTAAGGTGTGCTTATCTTCCCAAAACCCAGGATTTGAAGGGTTTTTGCTGAAACTATTTGGCAGCACGCATCCTGATCTTTCAGCAGGGTCAGGACGTGTGGATTCACCCACGTCCAGAGAACTTAGCCTGCGCACCGTGCGGCTGAAGGATCAGGGTCACAACAAGCAAGTCTGAAATGGAAATGAGGATTATGTGCTGGTCCTCAGGTAGCATGAATTAGCAAAAGAAAAAATAAAAGCAAATAAAAAAAAGATGGATGACGTCGTGAAAATGACACCGAGTATAAAGAGAAAAGAGCGTTTAATCTCTCAACTATGCAATAATTCAACTAAGGTGGTGTTGTCGTTTTAACGTCACCAATAAATACATTTAAACTGCGTTGTTATTTCGCCAGCAAAAATAACTCACAGAACTTATTTCCACATCCCTTATTTATCTGGGTGGAGAGGGACCGGGAGAAAGGGGAATCCATTAATTGTAGGGGGAAAAAAAAATTGTAGGATTTAAAGTTGCAGCATCCAAAACCTTCTTAGGACTAATTTTACATTGTTTAATAAAAGCGATAACCACCAGTACATAGTAAAGACAGAATCACAATGAGGATATAGGAGAGAGCAAGGGTAACACCATGGAAAGGTCACAGCTGAAATGCTGTCACGTTTTATTAGACCCTCCGATTTACAAGTAAATGAAGGTCCATTCCAGCCCATTGTATTCAGGGGTAATTACTCAGTACAGAGCCATGGGTTACTGTAAAAGAAGGGCAAAGAAAACAAAAAACAAAAGAAGTAAATGTTAACCAGAATTCACTGTCTGATTAAGTCTTTATTTAAAAACAAAACTCATCCAGAAATACACAGAGAAGACACCTGCAGGCAAATCACAGTTGCACTTGGCCAGAGTAAACTCCCGGCCCCAGTGAGCAAAACACCCTCCTTTTTAGTGCAAATCTTGCAGTAAAATAAGGCTCTTGCTGAATAGAAAATAGGTGAAGCAACTTGCCAGCATCTGTACACTTCTAAGCAGATGCCAAATAAAAAAAAAAAAAAAAAAAAAAAAAAAAGGTGATACTTTTTGCATTAAACCCAGAAATTGTTGGAGTCACTGAGAGGAAAGTCAAAAGAAACATCATCCTCTTTCTTCACAAACACTGATATGTACAGCAAAGTGACCAGCCTTCCCTGAGATTGGATCCAGGATGTGCATCCAGGCCAGCACACTGAGAGGGAGACAAGGCAAGAGATCCTTCGTGACCCCTGCAGCATTCAGAGAACACTTAGTTGCAAACCGTGGATCCAAGTTTGAGAATCCCCCAAGCCTGGGGACCAGAGGTTCGGACTCAGGCTCACGCCTGTGAGGATGTCAAGTTTTGCAAAAAGTCCTTTAAAATTATTTGAGTCACGTATGGCAGCACTGGGCAGGTAACAGGAGTTAGATACAGCAAATTAAAAAGGGGAGAGGGCAGCCAGTCTCTTCAGACAGCACGTCCCACCCCATGGCAGCATCGGGTTGCATTTGCAGGGGTCCCACGATAGGGGCTAGATGCGCACCACCAAGCAGCCGCGCTCTCCCACCACGCAGCCCCTCACACAAAATGGAGGGAGAGACAAAAAGCGGAGCAATTGAGAAGAGGGGACGCTAGCCCTACGAGCGCTCAGCAGCCTGCTGCTGCCCAAAGGGGAAGAGGCATCAGCAAGGCCCATCTCTTGCCAGTTCCACATAGGCTATTGCCGAGTTCTTCACAAGAACAACCATAAGCCAGAACAGCCAAGGGTGCGGACTCTTGCTTAAAACAAAATGGTGAGCGCAGGAAGGGAGCAATGAGTAAAGGTGAGCAAACAGGCGCAATGGCATAGCTGCGTGTTAACCGAATGTGGGGGCATTCGCTTCTGATGTGAAGGGAAAGGTTCTACAGGAAACCCGAACTGAAAATGAAAGAAAAAGGCAGATTAATGGTTTTATGGATTAATGACAAAAAACAAAATAAGAATATAAATGTTTCCTAACACACCACCAAAAAAAAAAAAAAATGTCGCTAAGTGTTAATAAGGTTTAATTTGATTACAAAACATGCTTTATGCAGACACACGCATGCATACACGCACACACACTCAGCAGTGGGATGAATCCAATTTATTCTCTAAAACAATCCTTTCACAGTTCTGCAAGCTACGGGACTCATCAACTGTGACTTGTTTGTATCCTTGCTAAACAGTGGAGCCCTGCAATACTATATGGATCAATATGGAGAGTATTTTTCTGTATTCTGGAAAAGTACCACATATACATATTTAATTTAGCACAGACAAATGCCCATTGAAAAAGGCACTGTCTGCATTTGTGTAGTGGGAACAAAGAAATTCACTGGATTCAAAGCCCGGCACACAACAGTGTACAGTTATAAGGGCTGCCAAAAGCAATCCAAACCCAACAAAAATCAGTAATGTTCACTCTAACTGCACTTTAGCCGTGCCTTCGTACTCAGCACCGGAATGAACACTGTTATTCTTTGAGCTTATTTTTCCACATTCAGAGCCTGATAAGCAGAGAATTGTTCTTTTCATTGTTTCACAGTTACCGTTGGCAGCAGAGACATTCATTCAACCGGACTGCTCAAGATGACCGCAAGCTCCAGTTCAAGTCAGTGCAAGACCCTTCTGAAGCTCTTCTGTTAAGTGGAACGTCCCATTGAAATGAAATTCAAATGCCTCTCACTGACAGCGTAATGTTTACTTGCCTTTCCATTTCCCTTGGTGGAGCTAAGAGGGAAGGAATCCTGGAATCAGCTTTTCCCTATTTAAAGGGCAGACTGTACGTTAGTTTGGGTTGTATCCTGGAGAGAAGGCAAATCCTAGCTTTGTCTGCAGGGAAGGGTGGACTCGAGGCCGAGTTTTTAGGGTGTTTTGTAATTAAGTGCCGCTGTTCCAACAGGTCGCTTCTCCGAGAGACCTGCACACCTCAGTCTGCGGTGCCATCACCCTTGCCTTGGATAATAAGTGTTGCTGCTCTGTCAAGAAGCAAAACATTCCTGTGGGAGCTTTCTTTTTCCTCTCACCAGAGAATCAACAGCAAATTAAAAAGGTTCAATTAAACACACTCAGCCTAGCTATAAGTAGAGCACTGTCATTAGCAGTTTAACTAATAACCCTAATGAGGATGCTGCTCTCCTGCCAGGCAGGTGTATTTCTTACACATCTTTGTTTAAATGAGCCTTCACTGCAGAAGCCTGCTTACGGCCAGGTTTGTTAACCCTTTCAGGCAACCTTAACTGTTCCACAAGCCTGCCCATGACTATGTGGCCACCTTACGTCCCTGCTCAACAGGAAGGCACAGACACTCTGGACAGTTACAGCAACTGGAGCAGAGCAGACTCACAGCATAACACCACTGACAGGGCTCTGCTCCAGTGGGAACTCTCCATGCCTTGGCAAAACTCTTCAGAAACTGGGATGCTGGCCTTATTCAGGGGCAAAGTGCTCTGGTAGGCTTTCTGGACACATCTGGAACACAGCCCTCTTCTAGCACTAGCCTTACCCTAACTGCGGGCACACTTGGCATGGCTCCCAGGAGTGTGGGTCTGTGTCCGTCTGCTACAACTGAATATCCGATCCATGGGTGACCGTTTGACTGTTAATGTCATAAAATCTCTCAGTCTATCTTCAGAGCCTTCACTATCTGCTAAACGCTCAGCCCATAATCTCCTGTGGTTTTGGACAAGCAGCTGTAACTGGTCAGCTGGTTTGGTTACTCGGCAGTAGCCTCTTTAACACCCCCTCATACATGTACATACACACACACCCCCACAAGCACACACACCCACACACACCAACCACACACACCGTTTGGTGATTCTCTGGTGCTTTGGGACAAAGGAAAGCTCTCGGTTTGGCAGATTTTACCATCTGTTAATATGCGAAGGGGGGGACAGAAACTAGTCTTGCATCTACCTTCACCTGCACTGTAACCACAAGTTAGCACTGCAATTTGGATGGGTGGGAGGGAAGGAGGAGAAAGGGAAAAGACATTTTCATGGCTAACTGGGTTCTATCATCAGCACCACATCTCCATAGCAATTGTTGCCATAGTATCAACATGGCCTACACGATTCAAGAATGTAATTCATTTCTAAGGGAGATAGAATAAAGAAAACGGAGCCAACAAAGTGCTGGGAAGATTTAAAAGAAAGAGGACCTAATCCTTATTTTTCTATGTTTCATGTCCTAATACTGAGTCTCTCTGCATTTTACTTTGCAGAATCTTCAAAGACAAACTTCATTGCATCCTTTTTCTCCAACTGCATATGTAGAGAGAGACTGGTAGAGTCTGTATAGTAAGGGTGAAAGCAGAGGAAGATGGAGATAATACTTATAAGCTTCTGGACTTGCACAGGGTCTGCTTTTTTAGGAAGTGTAACTGATCCCACTGTGAGGTCTATATTAGTTAATGACGCTTACCAGGACAATGTGCCTCATGCACCATGCAGCCAAACAGCAGCTAACTGTAAAACAGCATACATGTAAGAGCTAATGATGATGATAATGACGTAACAACAATAACAAAAAAGAAACCAAGTCATGATTAGTGCAAATTACAGAGCTTGGGTTTAAAAGAATCACTTGTGAAAGAAAAAGGCTATTGTACTGCCAACCACTAGTAAACAAATACAATTAAGCTACAGCTTGTGAACATGGATTGTTAGAGATATTTATGATCTAAAAACTGAAATGTATTATTAAGGACAATTGGAGAAGTTACAGACTAAAGAAAGCAGCACCATTTCTAACACAGCTATTTTCCTGGAGGAGAGAGTGGCCTCCTACTATCTTCCTGAGCCTTACTCGAGCACTGACCTCTCTCTCATCGAGTTTTCTGTGCCCTTCTGCATCCTTAACTGACAAGGATGGTACCAATGCTTTTCCGTATGAATGTGGTTGGTGTCAAGGAGCTCTTGGAAGATCAGAACTGCTGCTAGCAGCAGGAGTGTGACTTGGGCCACAGCGACTAACTGCTCATACTATAAGGCATGTCATCTCCCTTTTCTGCATTCCTGACCCTGACTGATCTCAGGGCTGAAGTCTGCAGTCCTCAGTGTGCAGATGTCTGAGGGCTCTAAGCATGAGAAGACTCAGTTGTGTATTCCTCACACAGTCCAGGCTGGGGGGAGAAGTCCGTCCCCACTCAGTTGCAGGCTCCTCAGCATGAAAAGATATTAAAAACCCCTGAAGGTAATTCAAAAGAGCAAATCCAAATGCACAGTGGAAAAAGGAACGGATAAGCGAGAAAAGGGCAGGAGCGCTAATTGCTCATCACAAAAGAATGTTGACATTGAAGCAGCTCCAGCTCAAAACTAAAAAGACTAAACCAGGATCTCATTCTGGTTATTGGGTTTTTCCTCTCCTGTCTCATTTGATTCCAACCTTAACAGTCAAGGGCTATTTTCCCTGACAAACAGTCTTGTCAGTTCTTTGGGCACGTGCCATATCGTTCATGTTAACAGCACTTCTCCCTGTACTTAAGACTGCATACCACAGGCAAGATTTACTCTGGATTTGCCCCAGGGATGTGCAGAGAGGGGATTATGGCAGTGGTGTAGAAACCAGACCCTTGTTTATCTGTATCCTGCTCTTTGTGCGCCTGCTAAGGTGGCACAGCACTCTGTTTCAGGAAACGTACCACAATGAGAAGAAAAGGAACTGCTCATTGCTAGGTGAACTGGGAGGACTGCGTCAGCTGTACAGTTGGTTGCTCTTGAGCAACTGCACAGCAGCAGGAGTCTGGCATGGGCACTGCAGACAGCCCAGATCACAGGACCCTGATGAGGGGCTGGATCCTGTCACACCAGTCCCTGGCATGGGAGACCCCTGCTAAAGCCATGCAGTATCTCTCACTGTTTCGGTGGAGGGCAAAAAGCTGATTTAGGGCTGGAGAGAGTACTAGCACTAACAAGGAGCTATGACCTGGCCCCTCATTTTGCAGCCTTACATTGTGCAGATTCCAGAATTCAAGAGTGTTAGCCTCCCTGAATAATTCCTAAGCTTTTTCCCAACCTAAACAAGTAAGACCCTGAGAGAGGATACGCCCCTCTTTGGGGGTAGCAGAACATCCTTGCTACCCACACCTTAGCATGGGCAGCCAATACTTTTCCACTTCATTACAGGCACTGACAGACCAAGGGAGGAGCAGGGAATCTCGGGGGATAAAACCAAGTTCATCCTCTCCCATGCTGTCAGCAAGCAACAAGGGAAGTTAGCGCTGCTCCCTGCTCTTCAGGATGACAACTAAAGGTAAAATGCTTCCAGCAACTACTCAGCCTTACTAGGGATTAAATCTGGCTGCAAACTTTTCCCCGATAAGGACTGGCTCGGTTGGGAGAGAGAGATGAACACCCAGAAAAATAGTAAAGGAGAACCATTACCAAAAAGCAAATACCACTGGGTTAGCAACTTACTTTTTTCTCTCCTTATCTCTTTTAAGAGTTTGTGATCCTCCAGCCTGCTGAGCCTGAGATTGGAGCAATTCAGCTGCTGTCTTCCTTTGTTTAAAAGCATTTACTTCATCATCCAGAGACTTCTTCTTATCCTCTAGCTTCTTTTTTTCATCCTGATGTAACTTCTTCAGGCGATCAAACTTTTCGTGCAGCTAGAGGGAAAGGAGAGAGGTGAGCAGGACCCAGCACTACCAGATATTCTTGTTCACAGGAAAAGAGGAAGATGGAAGTATCTCATGAGACCGGAGGCTGCAAGTCTCTGTTGGTCTCTACATCACTTCTAGCTCCCTGAGCTGACACTGCGTAGACAAAAGGGCAGGGAGCAGTCTCCTTCCACGACACCTTACAAACCAGGCAGTGTTCCAGTGAAGCACCACTGCACAGACTAATAAAGGATAGGGAGAGTAAAACTATAAAAAAAACCCAACCAAACAACCCCAAAACTATTTCCAGGGCTCCCCGTCTTATTCCTCTTTTAAAGGTCAGTAAATTAATGGATTTTTCACAATGCTAAAGAAGTTGTGTGGATGTATTTTTTATATAACAAGCTTACATCAGCTTATATCCTTTCTCTTCTTGAATTTTGCCACACTGCAACTCTCCACCACAATCAAGACTATGGCACTTTCACAGTGCAGTTAAGCTATAAACTACAAGCACTGTGATCTAGTTTTGTCCTACAGGATGAACACTTCAATGTGCTCATGGCCCCAAGTTAAACTTTAGACTTCTTAAACCACACTCTGCAGAAAGTGCTCTGGCAGCAGCTGCCTACTTAGGAGTGGATCTATCACTCACAACCATGAAGAGACAAGTACTGCAGTCTTCACCTCTTTTTCAGCTTCCTTCAGCTCTGCTTCTTTTTCCTTGACCCTCTGAACAAACATTTGCCTCATTGCCTCTTCCTTTTTCTGCAGTTCCCCCAGAAACTCATTTCTTTTGGCTTCATAAGTTTCCTGTAAGCTAAAAAGAAAGGAAAGTCCAGTGATATGACTTGGGACAAACTCTGCTTCCCCCGAGCCTCTGAAATCAGGCCCTCACCATGAATATTGCTTGCCCACAGCACATTTGCCACTTGCCCACCCATGTGTGTCCAAAGTCGTCTTTATCCAACCATTTCTGGGGTCTGTAAGCTATTGCACTTTTCTGTATGTTGAATGTTAGGCAATTCAAAGAGACCAGCTGGCAACAAACACTAGTTCAGAGGGACACTGCTGTATCTCTGCAGCACAGACATTTCTACTCCTATACTCGCAGTTTCACATGCTCTCTCGTGTTTTCACCTTCTCTCACTCAGCCAGCACCTTTCCTGAAGTCTGGATTTATCTGAGCTGGCAGGTTTTCTTGCTGCATTGGTTCTTTACATGCTCTCTCAAGGACACACACTGCATCCAACAATGCCTCCCTCGAGCTCTCCTGTCTCCTCCAGGGATCCCACCTGAAGGGTTTGCTGTCTGGATCGGTGTCCTTGAAACCCATCTCTTCCAGTTTACATCGCCGGTACAGCTCATAGTGGCGTGTGTGGGTCTGTTCGCGAAGGTCTTCCATGTTCACACGGATCAGCATCTCCCGCAGCTTCACAAAGTCGCAGTGAGCTTCATTCTCCACTGTAAGAAGACATGATAAGTAGTAAGATGGGAGCAGAAACAAAGGTCTCTTCCCACATTCCCCACGTGTCTACTCCTCCAACAGGTTTAACAGCCCTTCTGAGCAGAGAAAACTGTCACTATAGGCCTGACAGATGGATTTAACAAAGGATAATCCCCAGGGTTTATTGAAGTCCAGCAGACCCTTGCTCTTCTTATGAGAGCCCACTGCCTCCTGGCAGAAGTGTCACCATTCATGCCATGAAAATCCCAGGGCTCAACTCACCCTGCACTGTGCCCCAGGGGTACTGACGAGCTTTCATCATTTTGTTTCCTATTTTCAGCTCCTCCGTGCTCCCGATCACTGCAAACGGCAAGTGGGCCTGGAACACATTTAATGATACCCACGTTAGTCTCTCTCAACTGTGGCTGACTTGCCAGCACACAGAGATTAGCACAGCCACTGAGCAAGACAGTCATTATGCACACACTAATCTCAGGGAGTCTAGTCACTGGCCACTAGCCCAAGACAAGGGGGGAGAAGGGAGGGTCCTTTTTGGAAACCTTGTTAGTGCTACCATTCTATATCCTCTACCTGGCTGATCCTCCCAGCCACAGGGTCTCAGGTGAGATGAGCCAGTGCAAGACTAGCATCAGAATGACAGCTCGAACAACGTGCTGCGCGGCTCTGACTGCGGTGCTGTCCCGGGGGCTTGCCGTGGCTGAGGAGAACATCTGCACAAGCACAGAAGCAATAAAAGAGGTCTTGGAGCCTTCTTGATTTTATCCCCCCACCACTCCCTCAGCTCACACTGGAGCACAAGACAACTCGCTCTATCGGATCATGAGATCGAAGTCCCTCCTTCACCCCTACAATATCAGCTCTTTCCTCCCTGCTTGCTTCAGCCCTGGTGAGGAAGGGCTGAACACACCCCTGCACCAGGTCAGCCTCTGCGTCCACGTGTGCCCTGGGGTCTGCCCCAGGCTGAGCTGGGAAGGACTCTGCATTCCCTGGGGCTGTGCTGAGCCTGCCCCATGCTAACACTCCATAGTCCCTCATGATTCCTGCGGTTGTGTTGGGACTCACCCTCAATACCCCCTCTCCCAAATCTCACAGCACTCCTTTATCAAAACTGGTTCTGAGAAACCCAAAGGAGTGCCAATGGCTTTATAAAATCCTTATAATGGTGATGCTAGATGGCTGCATAGCTAGAGGACAAGAGAGGCCAAATCCAGAGACCACACCCATGAGGAGGGATCCTGGGAACAGCAGAGCAGCACTGTACTGCTAGCTCAGCTGTGCCTTGTTATGCTTTTCAAGCCGAGACACATACTCCACAGAGTACAGTTGTTACAAGTACCTGAAGGCTGACTAAGAACAAGAAGGAGCTGCTTCTCAAACACTCAGAAATAAAAAATGGTCACTTCTTTGTAAAGAAGATAGTCTCTCTGTAGAAGGCAAAAAGTAAGAGAATCACCTAGTGCAAGCTCAGCAGAGTTGGAACAGAAACACTCCTGACACCTCTCTAGGCTCAGAAGACCTCACCTTATACTTCCCTCATTCCCAAAACTCAGGCAGCCAAGCAAATTCCCCAGACACTGCTATCATACTTCACTGCATTTATCTGTTGTGCAGTAAGTGAGATCTCTCCCCACCTCCGCTTGCTCCTGGGAAATATATTGCATTCTGCCAAGCTGCAAAGAAGTCAAGTGCAAGGTTTCAGTACTTAAAAATAAAGTTGCCAGCTCCCTGCACCCACCCCTTCTGCTGAGTTTTGTGCAGTGACATTTGTTAGCTAAAGCTTTTAAAGTGCGCTGAGTTCTGGGCAATTAAAAGGGCCCCAGGAAGGCAATTATATGGAAGATCAGTGACCCTGGACTGCTCTCAAGAGCAGGTAGTGAAGTTTTAATTCCACAGGTTATCTGAAGACTTGGGCAAGTTCATGATAGCTGGTACAAGCTAAAGATTTCAGAGAGGATGTTTGCTGCTTCCAGAGTGCAGCTCATACAGTCAAATTGCAAATACAGCAAAACTGCCCACCAGCACTCACAAAGGTGAGCTCTCCAGTTTTTATTCCTTGGCCTCCCAGCTCTCGCATGGGATGCACGAAGAGTAAGCGGGGCTGGAGGTCAGTCTGATGGGGCCATCCTGGGCCATGCAGAGGCCCTGTGCACCGGGGCTTCCTGGGTCACTCTCCACGCCGAGTTACCACTGCAATCACACTGATGTGCTAGTGCCTGGAGGGACACAGGCCAACACGGAGCTGCGCCCGCTCTGCGCAGGGCAAGTTCCCTGTGTTAGAGGCCAAGCAGCAGAAAAAGGGAAGTGGTCTCCCAGGTTGAAGGAATCTCATTTTCAGCAGAAGGCTGTCTAATCACAAAGGGCAGGGGATACAAAACACTGCAGGGGAAGGAAACAAAGCTGTCTCAACTGAACAGCCTCCATACCACAACATGAGGGAGACTCTTCTGGCCAGCTTTCAAAGGAGTAACTTGCTGCCTCATTTCTACAAGCTGTAGTTTTTCCTGCCTTCAAGACAGACCACACACAAGCAGCACTGTCCACAAACACTTCTGCACATGGGGTTGAGAAGAATTATCAGTGGTCCCTGTTGAGCGGGTCTCCGCCTCTCCACTGACTGCAAACAGGCCTCACATGTCCTGCAGCATCCCGTTGTGCAGCCACTGTCAGGCACCCTGACAGGGGAGAGGGCAAGCAGAGACCCCAGGGCTGAGCAAGGGCCACATGCCGCCTTCAGCTGCTCTGGGAGAAACTGGAGACATCACACCATGGGAACAATGCTGGCTACTGCCAGGCACTGGGTGGGCTCTTCACCTGCTACAGGTTGGGCTCCTCAGCACGGGATGTGCTGGAACTGGCCTGTTCCCATGTCCAACTGCTGGAAACTCTGAAATGCCCCAGCTACTAGACCCCACAAAGGCTACAGCCTCTTCTGCCTGCCTACACAGTGCTATTTCCAGAGGAAAAGCCACCACAGTTCTGTGGTGCCTGAGGTTTCAGGCCAGCCACTCCCCCTCCAGGACACAGGATCAGAATTATGTTTGCTAGTGGCAATGTGCTCTGCACTGGTGATCCTCTCCTCCACAGCCCACTGGAGCTGCCCACTTCTCTTCCCAACCTGCCGCTTCTAGGTGAGAGCTTCCAGACCTCCCTGTTGGCTTCTTCAGACTGTCCATGAGGAGCATCCCATGGTCGGCTTCTCCCATAGCTGTAAATGCTTTTGTTTGCTTCATATCCAGGTCTCTGGGAGAGTGAAGTAAGGGGATTTCCAAGGGACAAAAGAAGTGAAAGGAGCAAGAGGAGCAACCTGAGACAGCGGCATAAACACCACGCTATGGCCACACAGGCACAGCCTGAACCTCGGTCGTCCATGGGCCCCGTTACCCTCAGCAGCAGAGTCATCTCCTCCACTGGTACCAGCTGTTTGGCTCCTGTCTTTGCTGGGGAGAAAGTGCTGGAGATTTCCTTCTTCCATCAGCAAGGAAGTTCCAGCTCCCACCATGTGGGGACAGCTCATGTAGCTGCATGTGGTTTCATTTAACTAGCAGGTGCAGGGAGAATATTTTCTTCAGTAATTAGACTAATTCATTCAAAATGGAAAAGCCAATAGGGGGTTGAAAGAATAGGAGAGCTTATTTTTCTTACTTGATTTAAGAATAAAATCCAGATGGGAAGAGACCTAAAGAATTTTGGACAGTGTTTTCTGTGAACTTGTAAATATATGCTTGGTGGGGTTCTCAAAAAGACCAGATCAGTTTCAAGGAAAATCAGGCAGTTTGTTCTGAAGATTTGTTTAATCTGGTTATTTTCTATTTACTTCACTCGATGCCTTTGTTCATGGTTAAATACTTCTGTTTCTGATCATGATGGCACAGATTTTAAATCTTTCATTTAATCAACTCCTGCCAGATCAGGCAATATTTTCTCTGTTCAGTAAGCCAATTCTGAATGCAAAATACTCTGGAAAAAAATTCCTAATGCATCCAGCACAAGTGGCTATAATAAAGTAAAATGCATATGAAATAGTGAGCTTGCATATTTTAAAGCCTAATTTTACTTTTCATGCAAAATACAACTAATGCAGGTTATAAGCAAAACATTAAGTAATCAAAAGACCAGTCTCAATTTTCTCTGTAATTAAAAAAGAAAAAAAAAAAAAGGTAACTGATCCAGAGAGGTTGCTGGTCAGCAAGAAGCACCACTTGACCATAAAGACCACATTTATAACCTATAACAGGCAAAGACAATGAAGCTTTCTGCAGAAAAGTAGAAACACAAAGGTTAAGGCAACTGATTTAAATTAAATGTTCCCATTCCTTAATTTTAAACATGACTAAAATCAGCAATTTAAGTCACAAACCTAAATCAAGCCATCCTGGCTCTTCTACTGGTGTCAGTCCCTCCACAAGCTCATCTCCTGCCCTGAAGCATAAGCAAATTTCTCTTATGTTGCTAATAAAATCAGTCTTTGGATACAAGTTTTCCAGGTCTGCAAAAGTGCCTTGATCAGATTCAGATTCTGGCCTGCTTAGTCCCCATAAACCTGGTAATTACAATTTATATCAGTTTAATGGAGGATTTAAAGAGCTGATCTCTCTGTGCAACTACTGACAACCCAGAACATCTACGACCCAAGACAGCAATTCCCTCCCAGGAGACATGTAAATGGCTGAAAGCAAAGACGAGCAGAGGTTTACCTCCACCCTCAGAAGGTCCAAGGCAAGAGGACCTCTCCCTTTGTCATCACACCTCTGGTTCCTTGAGGATGGAGTGATGTCGCATCTTCGTTTCCAGGAGTTAACAGTAGTCCTGCACAGTGCGAGTGTTATGCACTGAGAAAGATGCCATCGCAAAACTACTGACCAGGAAACCACCACTGACAGCTTTTACAGTAGGACAAACTTCATGTTTCTTTCAGGCCTCTCCACAACACTTTACAACAATTAATATTAGATCAAGAGACGACACAAAAGCTCATCAGCTAGATCTGTACTTCATCAACAGCAGTTAAGCAAGCAACTTCCCCTACTTGCTCTCCTGTAAAAAGCCTTCTAGAAAACAGGATCATGGTCAGGATGTGCTGCCAGAGGGGCCGAGGGACAGCTTGCTTCATCTTCAGGTAGCCCCAGACAGGCACCCACGATGCTGGGAACACCAGAGCCAGAACAAGCTCCTGCAGGCACCTCGCTACATGCTTGGCCCGATTTGTGTCCTGTTTTTCACATGTTGCTGGTTAAGCCATATAATTCCTTGCCTGTGGATCCTGGAAATGCACCAGTGGGGGGGCATCAGGTGATGTGTGGGACAGAAATCTAGAGAAACCCTTGAGCTGAACGTGGTTAGAAGCTAGGGAAGTATTTGGGGGAAGTGTACACATTGTACACATTGCCTCTCTTCTTATGTACTCCAAAAGTGACCAAAAGCAGATGTTTAGGGAAGAGAAGGGCCACTGGGCTGGATGGGCCTCTGGTCCCACCCTTGTGTTTTATTTCTCACATCAGCACTTGGATGTAGCTCAAGGGAAGCCACTGCTCTAACCAGACTCGTTTATCCCCTCATCCATCCGATGAGTCAACAGCATCAGAGCCAAAAGGCTAAACCAGACCAAGGACCCAGCTAAGTAACTTGATCAATAATAAAACAGCAACTCAGTGCAAACAGGATTCCCAGAGCCAGCCAGCTGAAGGGGCTCTGCTGCAAGGACAGCCACACGCAAGAGGAGATACCCACAGAGGCAGGGCTTTGCAGGTAACACCAGCCCAGGAGAGCAAAACTGTTTGGTGCGAAAAATGCAGGGCAAGGAGCAGAGAGGGGTTCGTGTCTGTAGACAGCCCACCCCTCACACCAGAGAGATAAAACCCAGCTGATTAATTCATAACCCAGGACTGTCCTTGCCCTGCACAGCCAGGCCTCACCATCTGTCCCTTTTCATGTCCCTCAACAGATATGCATTAGGACAAGGAAGGGGTTAAGAGACCATCTGTTTTCTGAGTAGAAAAGCCCATCAGAGAGGCAGTAGCCTACCACAAGGTTCTGCTAGCCTAGGATGACACCACAAGGATGAGATCCCTATGAAATCCTCTGGTTTTAAGACAGAAAATAAAAGGGAAAGTGGATTTAAGAAGCACCCCAATATGGACCCCCAACCCCTACAGTGACAGTGCTGTTCTGGGAGAGGAGGAAGCGCCGAGTCACTTACATTCATTGTCCCATTTATCTCCGCCACTGATTCATCGTCTGTTGGGAACTGGTAGATCTGAACACCATTACTGACCAGTTCGCTTGTGATTTTTATTTTAAATTTGGTCAGCTCACTCTTGGAAATGGCATCAGATTTGGCAATGATGGGAATGATGTTCACCTAGAAAGGAACAGAGTGGTAAGAATTCCTCAGCTTTGCTCCAGGGAATTTTTCCAAGTCTGCAATACAACTTACAAAAACTTAAAAGAGCTCAATAAATCTACAGGATTTACCTGCCAACCCAGTCATCTCCACTAGCATAAGAGCTGTTCAAGGTGCCTGTGCCCTGGAAAAGCAGCAGCCTTTCTGCCACGCAAATGGAGAACCTGCCCAGTAAGAGTTAAATGCGCTTACCTTGCTGTCAAGCTTCTTCATTGTCACCAAGTCCAAGGATTTCAGTGAGTGGCCTGTCGGAGCAATGAAGTACAAGCAGGCGTGGATCCGAGTGTCATGGTAGTTGTGCAAGACCCTTTTTATCTTCAGTTCTTCTTGCAAGTAGGCTTCAAACTGAGCATCAATGAACTCAACGATGGGCTTATAGCTTCAGTGAAAAAAAAAAAAAAAGTTAGACATCTTGCAGTCAGAGAGGTAAACAGACAGTGCTCCTTTCCTTGCCTTTAAGAAACAAACTGCTTGTTAGATTTCACTTCCCAAGACCAGTTCTCTCACTCTCCCTTCCGCCCCATCTGTAAGAAATTTAAAAGTTGCACTGCTGACAAGGAGATGTGGTCCTACATCACACTCCAGCAGCCGGTTTGACAAAACACAGTACAGAGGACAGGAGACACATCATCCTCTCCAGGGAAAGTGGGCTCTCATACTTGGAAATGCAAGGGTGAGAGACTTTTAAAAGGAAGGATAATGTAGACTCATTCATGGCAGTGTGTAACCCTTGCTTGCACTCAGGGAGGGAATGGCTTGCTGCTCTCACAGTCCCAAGTCCTGCAGGTGGAAGACACATCTCCATTCAATTCTGCCTTTGCCCAGTGCTCTGGGGCAGGAAATCCCTGCAGCTCCCTTGCAAGGCCACCTGAAATACAGAGCCTGTCAGACTCCTAATGTAAAGGACATCAGTGCATCTTAAACAAAACTAAGAAGAAAATCTAACAGACCCACAACAAAGAAATCCCATCTGCAATGCCTCTGTGAAGGTGCACCTTGGAGACAGTCTGGTGGAACTGCACACCCCTTAAGTGCCACACTGCAGCCATGCTGGGACATGAGACGCCAGAGATGCTTCCCCAGGGTATCTCACTGCACATTTACTGTGCTCCCTCTGGCAACATGGAAGAGCCCTGCCAGAAGTGGCTGTTAAGCCAAGTGGTCACTAGGCCACGTTAGTGGTTTGGCCAGCAGCTTGCAGTCAGCACAGCCCAAGGAAACAAGCACAGATGCCCTGGAGTTCTCCACTCTCCCTACCAGATGAATTTGGGCAGAAGGCTGCCAGCAGGGCGGATATTGCTCTGACAGCATGAGAAAAGCTGCTTTGATAGCTGGAACAGTGCTCATACACCACAGCCTCTGTCATCTCTTGTACCCATCCCATCCCAAAGAGACGACAAGGACAACCCCTAAGAAGGAAGGAGGAAAACTTTACAGTGCAGTCTGGCCCAACTAAGGCACAGGGAGAGACCCTGCATGAGAAAACCAGGTCACGATACAGCCTCTCTCCCCATTCACTCACCTGTCCTCTTTGTTGATCTGATCCCCAAAGCCCACGGTGCTCACGATAGTCAGTTTGAGGTTGACATTGCTCTCCTGCAGGTCGTAGGTATTGGATTTCAGCTGGACCCCGGGCTGTGAGTGAGATGCTGGATCACCTTCAAACTTGGTGTTGAAAAGTGTGTCCATGAGGGTGGACTTACCAAGGCCAGTTTCCCCTATTGGAGAAAAAGAGAGTTGAAATGTTCTATTGAATATTAATATGGCTTGGCCTTTCAGCTTCCAAACATTAAGAGGGGTGAAACTGTAGCAGAGGAAAGCAGATCTCATGCTCCAAAGGGATCGTCTGGCAAGCAGAAAGCCATGTACAATGGGAGGTCTGTATTCCAGGCAAATTACATTTCACAGTCTAATGGGCATTAATATAATTAGAAAATAGAGATGAAAAGAAAGAGGTGAAAAGGCAAAGGGGAAAGCATCATTCAGATCCTGCGTAAACTCACAACTACACTACAGAAGACACTATTTTCATTAAAAAGTGGGAAGGGCAATAGGGCTCATTGCCATTTCCAAAAAAAGATGCTCCAGATCAATATGCCTCTAATAAGCAGCCACTGAAATAGCCTCCTTCCATGCAGAAACAACTCAGAGTTGGTTCCAGTCCTACAGCAAGTTGTGCAGTTGGTTTCTTGTACCTACAACAGATTGAGTTGGGGGATCAGTCTTCTAGACTGGGAGGGGACATTTTCTGCAATACTTGGTTTCCATACCTTAGGGGCTACACGAGCTATACAATACTCCAAAAACGACTTCCAAAAGTTCTGCAGCTTTGAATTGCTGTTTGGATTCCACCTATCAACGGGAAACTATATCCTTGTCTGGAAGGAAGTAACAAATCACAGCAACCACTCTTAAATTTGTTTTAGATACATCCCAGGAAGAACAAAACAAATCCCTCTGTGCGCTCATTCCACAGTGCAGCCTCCCTTACCATGCTCTGACAACGGAGCCAGCTTTTTGAGCTCAAAAGGATCTGACTTTGTGCTAAACCCATAAGCAGTCTGGTTTGCTGCCATGTGAGGGCTGCTGTGTTTTGGGGAAACAGCGATCTCCCAGCTGCCCAGCTGGCTTTTGCTGAAACTTCAGGAGCTGACTGAACCCCACCCGCTGCAAAGGCTGCTCCTCCAGCCTGCTGTGGGACCACAGGGAGACTGTGTCTGGCTGAAGCAGCCTTCCCCTCCCTCCCCAAGCCCACAGCTCCCAACCAAGACAACTTCGTCATTTTCCTACTTCCCTCAGAAGAAAAGAGCTTCTTATTTTTGTAGGCTTAGAGCTCTGCAACAGATCCAAACTCATATGAAATACCCAATTCAACAAGGGAAGACTCCTCCCCATCCTCACCCGTCCAAATCTCCAAGCCTCACCCCTGAAAGCAGGCAAATTCCTCTCTCTTGGCCCCAGAAGGGACTTCTCTCACTCAAGGCTGAAGTACATGACAGGCAGGGCAGGGCAAACATCCACTACCCTGGGAACTGAGTGGTCTCTGATTGCCAGGATCATATATCAAGTATCTTTCCAGAGGCAGCAAAATTCATTAACATTTGAAAGTCAATGTACACCTTGAGCTGCAGAGCTGTCTGGGAGCCAGCTAAGAGCTTGTGCTCCATCACCAATTGATGCCAGCTAAAGCCAGAACAGCCACAAATCCAGTTGCTCTTCACACCAATCTCATTTGCAATCCGAAGGGGAGAAGAAGGAGTCAGCACTAGGGGCTGGTGTTGCTGCACTCCCTTGTGCTATGTTAGTGCATCAGCCATACCTACACCACCAACGACGGGGTGCCATGGCAGGAGGAAGGGAGGGGGACCCAGGAAAGCACAAAGTTACCTCTGTTGCTGGACGAATGAGCAGGACCATGCAGAAAAAACATGGCTGATCACAGTAAGCCTTTCATTGACTTGGAATCTTGTTGTCTGGGCTTTTGGGGTACCATTTTCCCCAAATGGGGAGCAGGTGCACAAAGCACAGTAGACCACAGCATCACTACAGTTTGGACTGGGATTTCTGCGAGTTAACTGCAGACAGCCTGCACGACCCGCCAGGCCTTTCTCAGGGATTCCAGGAAAACAGCAGCGTAAAAAAAGACAAAAATCTAAACAGCCTGAGAAGGCTGCAGCATTTCCAGAGCCCGTGCCAAGGGATGGGTGGGACAGAGCAGGGAGCTGGCTGCTTGCCTCCAAATGCCAGAATCCCTGATGGGGCATCTCAGGACAGGGGAGCTCATCAGCCCTGGGATGCAGGAGCATCACCCACACACCAGCCTGCAAACCCCCTCCTGTGCTGCTGTCTCCATCTCACAGCAGGGTTGGATCCAGCCTCCAGGGCTGCAGGAGAGGCTGATGGGAGCAGCGGTGGCGACCAGGGCAGGGAGCTGCTCTCTGCAGCGGATACACAAGGTCGCGTGTAAATCGCACAGGCTTCTGGGCAGACAAAACACCCTGTGAGTCACCTTTTGCTTCTGCCTCCCTGATTCTTTAGGGCAAACGGTGTTCATGGGAGGTCAAGACTATTGTTTAAATGCATCCTGAGTCTGCTAATCATTGCCTATTTTAAATCAATGTAATGTGCTGTTTCCAGCAGAAGTGACTTTAACTGTCAGAGGGGCCAGGAGAAGCGCGGAAGAGATGCAGGCAAATTTTTAAGCTAGAACACGCTTTACACTCCATCTCAAGCCAACTACACGTGGCCAGCAAAAGCAACTTTGAATTCGCTCATTGAGGCTTTCCTTTTGGAAGGGGAAGATCTGAACTGGTAAGGCATTTTTCCATAGGTGGGAGTTGCCCATCCAAACATGTACAACTTTGTGTTTAAAACACAAAATACCCAGCCACTAACACAGCATCTCAAACGTGAAGCCTGCACACCAGAAATGACATTCAGCCAGCAGATACACCCCTCCCTGCACTGTGTAACCCCACTGACACGGCATGGCGTTAAAGCCTGCCAGGGAAGAGGAGGATGGAGGAGAGAGGAACGACTGTCTCAGCTAAAAGAAACACAACGTTAACACTGATGGAGTGACATGAGATGGCAAAAGACTGAAGATGCCAATAAAGTGCTTCACTGTATTAAATATGACCAGAGCTAGGAAGCAGTGCTACTCTGAAGGGCAAAATGACAGAAGGGAGTATTTCTGAATCTCCCGGGAGTTTCTGCCTGACACAGAGGCAACTTTCTGCTGGCTGGAAGATGTAAGTGGTGCCAACTGCTTCTTGTAAGGACAGGAGTCCAGATGGAACAGATGGTCTGATGAAAAGGACAAGTAGTCTGTGCTCGTTCCAGCCGACAGCGCTGGAATCTTCTCCAAAAAGAAGAAACGATGAATGGGGATTAAGGGAGGCAGAATTACCGTGGAAAAAGCAGTGGTGTATGCAAACCGAGTGAGAGGCGTCCTTGGCAAGGAGATTATTTCCTAATGTCAGGCTTATAGGCACACATGTGATTTGATCTCCAAAACTGTACTTAAGGATTATGCAACTCGGCAGTGGTCCGCTCTCCCAAAGCAGGGCTGACAAAGCGCTGTGGGGGGACAGGGCAGGGAGGGTGACCTTTACCATTAGAGTTCTGCACCAGGAGGCTCTGACAGCTACTGAAAAGCTGTAGCATTGTGCCTTTCATCATGGGATAGAGTTTTGCTGTTAAGTTTGATGATTTTCAGAGACGTGAAAAAAAAAAAGGGCAAGAGACACTGCACCAGTCAGGCTCTGGACATGCAGCAATCCTAAACCAGCGCCCGGAAGGCACCATCCACTCTTAACAGCCGACAGCCTGCCAGGCTAGGGACGCTGTGCCGGGCTCCCCACACCTCCTGTCAGTCTCCTGTGACACGCTGCCTGCTCCGACTGCACGTGCACACGGCATCTTCAGTGCTCAATGGAAACAGTTCATCAAATCCCTCATTGACAGAGCAGTGGCACAGCTTGCAAAAACACAGCTCGGATAAGTGCCACTCTCCTCCCTTCAGCTACTCCACAGAGATCCTCTGCTCTGAACCAGGCTGTGCTCCCTGTGTTGCCCGGGCAGGACGTACCTCAAGCTCTCCAGGGCTCTCCAGCTGGTGACCAGGCAGAGCCTGTGCCAAAAGACAGCAAGCACCGGCACTGCAAGGAGTGAGTGATCCTGCCATCGGTACTGCAAAGTGACACATAACACTGTGCAGGCAAGCAGCACGAGGGCTACCCAACATCAGCTATTCTGGGTGCAATGGAGATAAGGTGAGGTGAGAGGTGGAGGTAAGGTGCTACCATACCTGTCTCCGACACTGCCCAGCAGCTCAGGTGGAGGAAAGAAAGCTGTGCCCACAGCAAAGGCTCCTTTCTTTGCGAAGATCCCAGCTTCCCAGACCCAAACAGGTATCTTTGTGCTGAATGCACCTTCATGGTTTCTTCCTTCCACGGAAATTTTGGTATTCTAAGCACCCCACAGTATTAAGCTGAATTATAGACCACAAAAGCTGCACCTCCTTTTTTGTGCCTGGCAATTTAATTTGCTTTTTCCTAGTACATATTACATGAAAAAACAAACGACTGCTTGCTGGCCCCCTTCTCCACTCCCTTAAATCACTCAGGATTTAAGAGGCCCCAGTCACATCATCCTCAGTAGACTCTGTGGGAGGACAGAAGAGCCCTTGGAGTATTTCCCTGTTCAAAGGCTTTCACGAGAGCGCCCTTTCATAAGACAGCAACACCTATCCTTCATGAGATTAACAACTGTGCCTCCAGATATCAAATAATTCAATCTTAAAAGAAAATGTATACGCATGCACAGCCCTTTCATGTGAAGAAACGGGAGCTAATCCAATGTAGCAGGTTTGTGGAGACAAGCCCTGAGGCAGCTCAGCCTGATAAGGCCATCTCTCACCAAGAGAGGAAAAAACAGTTCTTTTCATCTGACAGGCGTGCAGAGACGCCGCACGATTCACCCATCGCAAAGCAAAGGCTGGGCTGTGGGGGCAAGAGGAGCAACATGGGCTCATCACAAAAGATGCTGAAGCACCTCAGAGGACTACCCAGCTCCCAGCCACAGATGTTTGCCCTGGGGGACCAGGGGTGAGGGGGCAGGAGAGGGCTGAGGAGACCGATGGCTTTTCAGTTGGAGAAACCCTGTTCTCTCCCCAGCTGGTTGCACCAGTGACCACAAAAACAAACACTGGGCAACTTCCAGGCTGTACAGCTCATCACCCCACAGAAAGCTGCCTGGTGGAGAGCAGGCAGCAGCTCTGCACAAGGAAACCCGTGCACATCCCTCCCTTCCCCAGCTGGTGAGAGCTCCCGCATGCTGAGGGACTCACTCGTTTGGAACAAGAGACCTCAAGCAGCTGTGGTACAGCCCCTGGGAAAAGAGATGGTATTTTTGCCACAAAACAGCCATTTCTCATTGCACTGAATAGGCTACTTAGAACAAATCCCCTGCAAATCCCAGGAAAGAGGAAGGGGGAGACTCCTGCTTATAATGGCATACTAGTCTAACACAACTATAAGCTACCCTGGCCAAAACTGAGAAAATTTGCATTAAAAAATGTCAGCCTATTCTTTCTCTTTCTTTCCCCCATCTCACTGAGAAATACAGTCAGCACAGAAGGTCTAAGCCATTAAATACTTCTCCAGCCTTTGCGCTGAATTAAAAGGCAACGAACATTTTATCATGGAAGCTTTAAGATGAAAACGGTTGTGCTGAGGAACAAAATACCAGAGAAACCATCCGCAGCCCCTAACTTCTTAAGAGAGGTTTGCTCATTTACTCTATCTTTGGCTCTAGTCTCAAAGGGGAGACAGCTTTCAGCATGAGAAGAGCTAAAAATTGCTCCACTCTGGATGTGCTGCTGAGAGTCATTTCTGAAGCTTTCCTTGGCTCCTCCACCGGGAGCTGGAGGAATCGGTGGCTCAGATCCAGTGTGGTGCAGCGCAAAACTGTCATTGGATTTTTCCTCCAAGAGATGCCAAACACAGCTGAAAAATGGGGGGCAATGAAGTGCCTTTCTATCATGCTAAGTGGCCTATGGGATCAGTTCACCTATTTGTTGTTTTGTTGGCTCCAATCCTCATTTGTTCCCTGTTCTTTCAATTTTTCACCCCAAACTCCTGCTGTACAAGTGAGACCCAACAGAATACATGATAGATGGACTCTGGGACTTTTTGTTTTCTTTCTCCAGGATGTTTAAGAGTTTAACATTGTTATCATAAGTTAACAGAGGCACCAGACGACTCTTAAAAAACATTTTAAAGCCTGATCTCCTCAACTCAAGATTTGCACATCCTCTTCTAGTGAAGAGGATGTAATTTTTCTATAATGTTTCTTTATTTCAAGATTGACCATGTCTGTGTTATTACTATTCATAGCAGACTGACATTAATAACTAATGCCCATTGATCTTGGCTTGTTATTCAGATCAACAAGCAATTAATGCATTCCTTTTCTGTCCTGCAAAGAGGAAAGCAGAGGCGGCCAGCTCCTCTCCACAAATCAAAGTGAACATATAACCACAGGAGGCATCCACTGCTGCACCTATAACTCATAGAAAAAAGCACAGCAGCTTGATAAATGCAAAAGGGAAATAATGCAAGACTTCAGACTTTGGGACAAGAGTTTCACTAGGTCATATCACATTCACGTACTGTGGAAATCACCTAGCCACTCAGCCTGACAGTGACCTTCACTTGTCAGCAAAGTTTATCATCTCACAGGAATGCAATTGTCAGGGAAAGTTTTCTTCTCAGCTCCCATTTAACAGGGCTCTGCTCCACTCTCTTCCTCTCGTCTCGTACTTAACCCTGTCCTGGGCAAACACCAGGTCCACGGATCTCTCACAGGAGGGGACAGACAACCTTCGTGTGGGTGCAGAGCTGACACCAGCTGAGTCCCCAGGAGGTATCCACAGTTGCAGCTCTCCCCTCTGTCAAGCCAGGCACTGCTGGGAGCATCTGCAGACAGGGCTTACTCCAAGCAGCCATGGCCACACAATAACCTCCTGCTCCCAGAGGCAGGGCATTGGCATCAGTAAACCAAACTAAATGTCCTATCAGACAATTATTAATTCCCTATTATTAATCTCCTTATGCACCTTATCAAACTACTGTACCAAAGCCCTACAGGATATTATTTCTGTTACCTGGGAGTGCCTCTCACGAGGGACCATTTGGGATCCTAACCCTGGGCAAGACCTGCGAGACAGGCAGACGCTGCAGGGACAGACACCAGGTCCTACTACAGCGCCAGGCCCCAGCTGAGATCCATACCACATGGCAGCTTGAATAATTGTCTGACCAGCTAAGGCTTGGCCAGACACTATTTTAATTCAAGTATGCACAGAAGGGAGGACCAAAAAAATAGCTTTTAGTGATTTAAGAGGAGCATGACTGGTATTTTGTTAAAATAATTATAATAACAATTCAATACCTAACCAAACAAGACCTCAGAACAAAGTTCTCTGGCATGAGTATCTATTTTCTTTTAAAAACATGAAATTGAAACATACTAGGAAAATAAAGATCGTAATAAAAGCCTGGGATTTTAGGCATTTTGTTTCTATGGTTCACTGCTTGGTAGAAAGCCATACTGCATAAACTCAGCAGGGATTTCCCAGGGCACCAGTAAATCTTGTTTCTGAAAATAGACAGAACAGTGGGGAAAATTTAAATCAAAGCTACCTTTTTAACTCTGTCACCTACAAGCTACATCCAGCTGCAGAGAAGCCCTTTTCAGCAAGAGAACTTCCCAAAATGGAAATACTCACCCACACACAGGATGTTGAAACAAAACCCATGATTAACTGACTTATTAACCAGCTGGTCAGGCAAACTGTCAAATCCTACGTGTCCGGAAAGTGGGACAGTGCGACAGCCTTCACCCTGAAATACAATGAAAGAGTTGTGTCATTTTCGAGCAAAATACACTTACCTGTATAAGCCCTTAAGACCTCCCAAGCAGAATCAACTGCACAGTCCGAGCAGAGATTTGCACGTATACTGTAAATCGTACACTGTAAATCGTGTCAGCATGCTTCCCTCTTCTCCAAAACAAATCCAGATGGCACAAATAGAACGTTTCATTTGCCACATATTAGAAGGTAGCCCTGTCAAAAATATTAAACTGCAAAACACATAGCCAAACACCACTGCTGAAATAAAGAGGTAGCACATCATTTGTTTCTTGAGAAATTATGTAGGTACTCAAGTCTCACCTTATACTGAAAACAAAAAGAATCCCCTGGGCAAAGGAATGTATTAATGATGCCTCCTCCTATAAGACTATGACAACTCACTTAATGTGAATTATAACTCACGTGTAATTCACATTCATAGCTGCAATTACAGAAACCGTCTAGAAGCAGTTAGGAAAACTGTACCTACATCTCGTAATCGAACAACCCAAACACACTGCCTCTGCAAAGCTCAAGTGGTGTAGCACAGGAACAGCAGAGAATACAGTTTTTGAGCTATCAAACACAGCAATATCTTCCATATTGTTGTAAAGATTAAGATCTCAGACTGCAAACAGGAGTCTGTCCAAATCTATAAAACAGCCATTAGCACCAGAAAATCAGGGATCACTGAAGGAAGGTACAAGGAAGAAGCTCGCACAGGCAAGTGGCCAGACCATGCAAGGTAGCAGGTCTTCTCCAGCTCTGAGTGTTGCTATTGAACCTTCAGAAAATACCTTTCAAAGGTAGGAACTGAACAGGAAAAAAAAAATGCTGGGAAAAAGTGTCCAAAACTGAGCTGCTCATAACCAGGCAGCCCCATCAGAAGGGAGCCTGCACGGGGCTTTGGGAGCAGAGGTACCCAAATCTGCCTTCAAGGGGGCACAGGCTGCTCCTGCCCAGCCACCCAAATGACTTTGTGAGAAGCTGCTCCAACACCCTGCTCTCTCCTGTGCCCCACAGCACTAACCCAGTCTCCCAAGCCAGGCATCCCCTTTCTGCCCTGGGAAGCCGAAGGGTTGAGCTCCAGCTCCTGCTCACACTGTGCTCCACCCCCAGCACGGGTGCCTGTTTCTGGAACGGGGGTCAGAAATTCTCACCTGGCCACTGCACAAAGGCTGATGTATGCCAAGGCACTTTGGGTTCCAAGCCTGCACAGCAGACAGGAAATAAACTACGTGCAGAGGCTCAACCTCACAAGTGGCATCACGGAAAATGGAGAGTCGGTGCTAACCCCACGTATTTGTGCATACCGGAAAGTTCCGAGGCTCAACCTCACAAGTGGCATCACGGAAAATGGAGAGTCGGTGCTAACCCCATGTATTTGTGCGTACCGGAAAGTTCCCCCCCTGCAACCCCCCACCCCCAAAAGGTATTTCCCCCTCTGGAGCAAAGGCTTTTCTTAACAATGCATTTTAGCGTCAAATACAGAAAACTCCCCTCTGGCCTTTCAGGGCTACCATCAGTTTGCAACAA